TAACCTGGTGTGAAACTGGTATCTGAGGCAGGGGTGATGTGATACTACTCAAAACCATACAAGGATGGTTTTTAGCCAAAGGATTTCCATTGATCGCAGACATGTTGACATGTACGATACCTCTAGAATTAATAACTGCACCAGAGATTCCTTTTATTTCATCATGGAGTCGAGTACGTGGGGCGTTGATGAGTTGAATAGCTTTCTCTGATATAAGGGTAAGTTGGGCAGCGGAGTCGAGCACAGCACGGAGTACAGTATGTTGACCATGTTGTGAAGAGACATGAACTAAACATGTACCAAGAAGGATTGTGGTTTTAGTTGGATTGAGTTGACTAGACAATCCTACAAAAGCATTAACGTTTGTAGAAGCAGTAGGATTAATAGTTGTTGTATTCTTTGAAGATGAATTAGGTGTGTAGGTCTTATTTTGAGGAGACAGCTTAGTTTGATAGCTTGACTGTGCCTGAAGTGAACTACGTGTGGGCTCATGCAATAGAGTATGGTGATGTTTGGAACAAATCTGACACACTTTACTTGAGGGGCAGTTGAGTGTGTTATGAAGATAACCGAGGCAGTTTGTACAAATCCTATTCTTGCGAATAAACTCAGATCTTTCACTCACACTTCTAGCTAGGAAAGCTTGACACTTGTATATGTTGTGATCTGCAGCTTGACAAAATCTACAAGAGTTGGTTGTGGCGACAAGAGCAGTTTTTGTATGGTTGGTGAAATGTGGCTTACTTTCACGCGTAAACTTATTAGGCCTAGTTATGTTTGTAGGACACTTTAGGCCAGTGGAATACTTTGAGGTAGATGGTGAACTGAGACAAATACTAGCACCTTCTAAACGTTTGAATTCCATTTCAAGAAAGGTCATTAAATCATTAACAAGAGGGATCTCGTTGTTTAAGGCGCGAGAGTCTTCAAAAGATTTTCTAATATCAGCTGGGATCTTCTTTAAAAGTGTTAAGACTAACAGGGTGTTTTCAGTTGTAATGTCATGATTTAAGTTTTTCAAGGCTTGAGTATTTTCCTTATATACAGTGAGAAATGATTGTAAGCTCTTAAGCGAACCACTAGTAATGGGCGACAAATCCAGAATTTTTGTAACGAGCTGAGTGACAATACGTCTCTTGTTTTCATAGCGATCCTTGAGAAGTCGAAGGGCTACCACATAGTTTTCAGGAGTAATATTAAGACTCTTAACCAAGTCTAAGGGCTCACCACTCAGGGCACTAAGCAAATACTGAAACTTATTCACTGGGGAGACAGAATTATTCGCATTGACAGAGGCTTCAAAAATATTATAGAAACTAACCCACTCTTCATAGTTACCACTAAATTTAGGCAACTCAAATTTAGGCAGGCGCAGAGAAGCTGGAGGTGGAGTAGGTGTTACAACAGGTTCAACTGGCAAAAGAACTTTAATGTCACTTATAAGGGCTACATACAAGTCAGAAAGTTCATCATGCATTGAAAATGATTCCTCCTCATCACAATCAGAAGCAGGGTCATCAGTCACAACTCTATTAAATAAAGTTTTAAAGTCAGTAAATAGATCTCTGACCTCCTCATTATAATTGTGTAAACGCTGTATATTAGCAGGAGTCAATTCTTGACCTTCAGTTCGAGGAAGTTGGTTTGACAAATATTTATTTATTTTCTGAAACCTGTTTTTAACAAGTTTTGCTTTTCTTTGTAGGGTAGTGAATCTCATCATGAACAAACAAATTAAATAACACACAACAAGAATAGATGAGTTTTCATAAAATAGCCCAAAATCTTAAATTAATAATGATCTCATAAATCTAGGCCTACTGAAGTGCATAAATCAATTTGCAATTCAACTTCAATAGTAAAGTGAAGTCAATTATCAATTTGTTATTATCACCAATAATCTCTGTTGACAATAATATTTACAATAATGAATAAAGAGAGCATAGCAATAACAATAATTACCAGTTTTCTCCAGTTCAGGACCCTTTTCAATTAGTATTTGATTAAATAAATAATGTCTTCATTTTTCAACAACATAAACAAACTTGCAGGTTATGTTGATAGTTGATATGTTCAATTCAATATCGGGTTATATTTAAACAAACAGCTGATGTAGATGAACAGAGTTTTGATGAGTTGAGTTTTCAGTTTAATAGCAGACAGGTGATTGGTTCGTCCTCAGTTCCACCGTTTCACTAATCTTGCAGGTTATTGGTTGCCATGTAGCGCAGAGCGATCTGTTGGCGAAGTTGAGAACTACCAACTACCAAGGTGTATCGCAAAGGACAGAACGTTGTTGCAAAATGGCGGACAATGGGATAGAATATTTCAGGGAAATAACTACTAACTAACTTTGCAATTTTATTTATACACCCAAATAATAAGGCTGAATTGATTGTGAGACCTTATTATTTAAAAGGATTTTATGGATGAGATGTGAATAAATATTCAATCCTAAAAATGTTCTACGCTTGATTTATTTCAAGACAAACTAGGTAGGCCTAACTTGACGTGATTTAGGTGACAGTGACAAAATTGAACATGAAAATAATTGTCTGGTATGAAACAGGAATGAATGGACATTAAAATTGTTCGTAATAATGTTTCACAAGACAAAATATTACCAGTTAGGGATGTGACACTGATCATAAACATTCATTTGAGAAATAAATTATTGTACTGTATCAATTATATTTTAATTGGCAAATGTAATCCGGGTTGACAGGACCAGCGAATGGGGGGTAAACTTCGATATGGTGGAGGTGGACTGTATAAAAAATGAGGGATGTGAGATATATTATGTTAAGATCAGCTTTAGAGACACACTGTGAGCACAAAATAATAAACTTTTAAATAGGAAGAAATGTGATTTGGTACCTTCCTTTTTACTGAAGTGATGTCTAGTAGACCGTTGACGCACTTGATGTTTGCTGGCCAGCTTTCGCGTACGCGACCGGTAGTTGCACCAAGAACAGTTTGAATACAGTTTTTAACTATTCAGTTCACTTTTTTGTTAGGTGTGTCACAAATAAATACATAAGATAAACATACGATAATATATAAGTTCAATTTATATGCCACAAATAGAGTAGGGGAATATTATAATAAAAAACTAGGGAAAATGGCGAGAACATGATGCCGGGTTGAAGAGTACATGGGGAATGGGGGAAATTGCCAGACATCACGTGACAGGGCAAGGGTCAGAGCAAAATATGAATGAAGTCTGGATTCACCTAGGTTGCGTAGATGCTTGAATACGGAACACATGAATTACTTGGCTGGATTGGGTAGGCTTGCGGTAAATACTGTATTGGAATTTGTCACTATTGCGTGTGATGGTTAAGTCAAGATAATTAATTTTTCTGTCCTGTTCTATTTCATTTTTGAATTTGATTTTTGGGTGTTTGTCATTCAGAAATTTGGTGAAAAGATCGATTTGTCTGGCATTGCCTTTGAATACGCATATTGCGTCGTCAGCACACCTCTGATAGAATATAACTTTATCTTTATATTTTGATGTTTCGTTGATGATATGCTTGGTTTCAAAGTCGTTAAGAAACAATTCGGCTAATATGCTGGATAATTGTGAACCCATTGCTAACCCTTCCTTCTGTATGTAGTAATTGCCTTTGTATTCAATGTAATTTTGTTGTAAAATTACTTTGGTTAGGTCTATCAATTCTTTGATTTTGTTTTGGCATAACGTGTTGTTTTCTGTCAATCGTTTCTCGAGTATTGCAATAGATTCCTCAACAGGTATGTTGGTGTACATGTTCTCAACTAACATCAAGAGACATGAGAGTATGTCCGTTTGCGGGTTTGATTTCATTTAACTTGTCAATTAGTTCAATGCTATTGCGCAAGCTGAAGTTGGGGTTCAGTTTTATGTTGTCTCTAATTATTCTGTCAATTTTCTTAGCTGTACGGTATGCTGTGGCTGATGTTTAATTTACTAGTGGTCTTATTGGTATGTTTGGTTTATGGACTTTTGGGAGTCCCCTAAATTTCGGGGCGTGTGGGGCTGTGATTTTGAGGTATCTTTTTGTTCCGTCTAAAAGGAGGTACTTCGACTTGTTGATCTTTGAGTTTATGTCCTTGAGGAAACGTGGGGTGGGATCATTTTTTAACTGTTCTATGTTATTGTTGGTGATGAACTGGCTTATTTTTTGGTCGTACTCATTTTCATACATGATTACTGTGGTGTTACCTTTATCGGCTTTGGTCAATATGGCGTTATTGGAGGACAGTTTATCTTTAATTTCTTTAGCCACTCGGAAGTCTTTAATGTTAGAATTTTTTTGTTTTTGAACTTTGGGGATTACGGTAACACCACAGTAATCATGTATGAAAATGAGTACGACCAAAAAATAAGCCAGTTCATCACCAACAATAACATAGAACAGTTAAAAAATGATCCCACCCCATGTTTCCTCAAGGACATAAACTCAAAGATCAAGTACCTCTGCAATCTATAGGAATGTTTGACACAATAATTAGAGTAAACCAGGAATAAGCTGATCGAAACGTCACGTGACCTTGAACTGGACACTGCAATGCCAGTCGCCGCCGTCCCGACCAAACGCGTGCACGCACCGTGACGGTATCAAAATAAATGTTTAATGTAATGTGTTTTTCTACGTGTGTTCTGTGTTTTATGTTTTAAATTGATGACGAATCTAAGAAGAGAATAACCTGAGGATGTGGCAGTCGCCACGAAACATGTAGTTGTTTATCTACCAACACTAAACGGATATTGTAAGGTAACAATAATAATTTAATTAATATAAAGCAATATCCAGAAGTAGGACAATGAATTCTGATATAAAATGTTCTTGCTATTTTTGAGGTTATGTCGCCCTTACATAGTTTACCATGGGTAATATGCAACAATTTACCTATATAAGCACCCGTCAACCAAACTGACATGAATTGTTTACTTCTATGGCCGGAAATTAAACATTCAAGTTGATTTCTGTCGAAAATCAAACGCCCGTGACCATATGACTTGTCCCCCTGAGACCGGGCCGGACCATCCGGCTGCCGATCCAACCGAAGCCGAACTAGAGGGAGTCTACTGTACTCTAGCGTTGCGTGTGATTAACTACTGTACCTACTATACTTTTCTCTTCTCTACCTCCTAAATCTTTTCTGTGCCCCTATACTCCATTCTCTCTTTTATCTCTCTCTTTATTCCTCTGTCCTTTTTTTTCTTTCTTAACTCTTAACCTTTCCCTGGCCCTCCTTTGTTCTCTTGTTCTTCTTTTACTTCTCTCCTCTCCTGTTGGTAAAGTAATCCTGCTGAGGCAAAGACATGTATCTTGTGTGTTTTTGACAGCTCGTTTAGATCGTTACAATCATGACATCGGGGAGGATACGGATGACCCCGAGGAGAGCATTTTGTTTGGTACCTTCTCTTCATGCTCTCCCCAGTACAAGAAGGTTCAGTCTCGACTCAGCACACACAGCAACAGTGGGTCTAGTGATGATGCTCGCAAGTTCATCTTCCGTTGTGACTCTGACAACTCAAACACGAGTGAACAACCCTCCACAGCGCCTTTCCCTGGTGTGTAACCGTTTGAGAAAAACTTTTCTAGCATTCTAAAGTAACTTTTTTATATTGTTTATTGAGTGTCACCCCAATAGTCAGCAAGGAGCACAAATCAGTGAGCTCTGTGCCGATTTAAAAAAATGTTTGCACTATCTTAAGTATGTCAAAACACAATATAATTGAAGGCAGGCTACATAATTTTGAATAGAAGATAATTTTTGATCCAATGTGAAATGAGAATTTTACTCAGTGCAACAGCAAAATATTGTAATTGATACAATCTCCGCTCTTTATGGGAGTTTTTCCTTTAGTTAAATTTTTATTAAATCAAACATGTATACAAAGACTACGTTTTAGTACGCACCTCACTTTTTAATTGAATGCTACTTTTGATATAAAGTCATCCACTCCATCCATTATAATATGATAGTCAAACTTTCCCTCATGACTAGGCGTAACGTATGGTAAGATGCCAGGAGATGTGTTGTTCAGTTGGCTGTGTTTTCCTACAGGATTCGATCGTCTCCCTCTAGAACAGTCGTCGGGTGAAGAGCAGACTACAGTGTTAGGTACTGAACAAGTTAGCACACCAGAGTCGTCGCAGACAGAGAGTGACGATGTCTCGCCACAGGTGCAGCGCAAACGTCGTCTGCACTCCAGAGAGGGACTGCCTCGTTTCTCCATCTCAACAGAAGATGATCAGGCCAGGTTTGTGTGTCTGTAGTAACGATTGCCTTTTTTCAATTACATTATGTATATATTTTTTGAACCTTGTTTGTCCATGTTCTCTTTGCAAAACGAAAGCATCACATTGTCATATGAACTGACCTTGTATCACCCGTTTATGAACACATTCGCTGCGGCCCATCAATGGCAGGCATAGCCCTGGTGCGGCGCAGCGTGTTAAAAAAACAAGTTGATTTCTAAGCTTGCCAGACATGGATTTTACGAGGAAATTTACTACCAACCTACACCACAATTAATAGACTGGTATTAGAGACACAATACTAACGCGTACCAACCGTCTTCGACGAGATCCTGAGCCACTCTGACTGAGCAAACAATGCATTGCGCGCTGTGTCCCCTGGTACGCAGCCGCCTCGCACCACGGCACACCATGCCCAGGGACCCAGCCACAGCGATTGTGTTAAAAGGTCATTCACTGGTGCACTTACCCTATTATGCATTCATCATTGTGATTATAATCCGTGATCACACATCATGATCCCCGTGACATGATTAGTCACGTCGTTTCATGATCTCCGGCATCTGGGTCTTCCTCATGATTACCCCCCAGTGTTTGTGCCTACCCTAATTGTCTCCTTGTCATTATCATTCATACTATCAAAATAAAGGGGCTAGATTGGCCTGTGGTTGCAGTAACATTTTAAATTGTCGATCAAAGAAACTTTGCATATGTCTTCTGCAATTGCTATAAAATATACCCGTCTCAAAAGAACCTCAATATAATTCAAATTTTCCAATAATAAGGGAATAACAATAACCAGAATATCCAGGTCATTGACGTTCCTAGTTTGAAGTAAAAAGTTATTATTATCACCTTGCTCCGTGCTCAGTGGTATTCTAATAACCACCAGACCGTGTTCGTGCTGTAAATAACTGCCTGATTTTCAGTTCTGTTTCAGTACCCACTTTTCCTACAGGGAAGAAAACATTTTGAAAATTGTTTGTGTTTTATTTCTTTCAGCGACCCACCCAAATTGCTCCCTTGACCTACTGCTAGAGGGTCATAGCTTATTGTTTGGAAACACTGTGTTGGACTTTAAATTTAGGTCCTCTTTGTACACCATCACCAATACATTGATTGTTTCTTGGGACTGTTCCAAACTCACCTTGCTTTGCTTTACTTTGTCACATCTCAAGCACAGGAGGCAACCAAAAGTGAAGCTACCACATAAACCACATAAAACTACTTGTATGACTACTCCTAATTTCTGGTATCCCCTAATCCGTTTATGTTTCTTGATTCTTGATTTGAATATAAAATAATTTCTTTAGATTTACTTTATATGACTTTAAAATTTTGTTTAGTTTTCACTGTTTTCAATTAATATATATATTTTTACGTTGTACTGTTTTTATTTTCTCACCGTTTTTCTTTCTTTTACTACCAGACGCACAACTTGTCAGTTAATTTGGAATGTGGACAAGTCAAGCAGCAGTGGTGCTACAAGTGAGGACTCGTCCAGTTCACTCACTCACTCCCCCCTTGCTAACTCCATGTGTGTTGGTCGTGCGTTTTGGTTAGTTTATTTAATTTTTTCCTATTATTTACTGTTATTTTTTTACTATTGAAATTAGTCAAATATAAACTGAAATGCTTGTTTTTTTTATGAATGATGAGGAAAGGATTTAACCCATTGGGGAAGAAATTAATGTGCTGCCTACAGCGCCCTCGGTCAGCAATTAATTTTACCGAATTTGTAGACTTTCACTCTAATTGTCATATAAAAAAACCGTAGGTAATAATTAAATAATTCTTTTGCCATTTTGTTCAGAATAAAATTATCTACCAAAATATTGTAATTGGATAATCAAAGTGTAAAATTTAAAAAAATTAAATATAAAAATTATAAGAAACAAAAATAATTTTTTTAAAGTAAACTTTATTTACAAATTCCAAGATTAATCCAGACACCAAATGACACTATTATCATAACGTTCAATTGATTCCCTAAGTAGGAAAATCAACAGTTGTTTTTCTTTATAAGTAATAACATAGAAAAAATTTTTTTTTACCTTAACACAGATGATTTTGAATCATATCTGGTTTCCATGGAAACACAACCTTTGTTATTCCCAAAAATAAATTATTAAAAATACGCAAAACAAGAAGCAAGATATTCATAAACATTGTATAAAAGTAAAAAAAAATTTAAAAAAAAACAATTTGGGCTTGTAAGTCGGATTGCGGGCCTGCGGCGGCCAGACGAGTAACGCTCGTAAGTCGGTGCCAATGGGTTAAACACATATTGCGCACTTCAAATGTCACATTGGTCAATCATGACTTGAATGTATCACCAAGTTTTAAAAGCCCAGAAGTCATTACCCTCATCACTTATAAATTAACCCTCTATTTAAAAAATTTGTTTTTACTAAATATTTATTACTTAACCGAGCTACACAGAAGCTATATAATTTCCTGATTTTAATATGATTACCCTGCCAACAGCAACTCGGAGGTTTGTCCACCGACCCAAGGGATCACAAAGGATCTGTCTCCCATGGTAGAGAAGACTAAGGGTCTGCCTGCTGCTCTACGGATGGCTATCTCCCCAATCTTCCCGATATCCAAGCATCGCTCCAGAGCTGTCATAAAGAGTTTCTCTGCCTCCGGACTCTCTCTTATTATTCCACCAGGTTAGAACATCCCTCCGTGACATTCGAACCAATAATTTAAACTCCATTATTAACTCTAAACTGTACTTAGAATGGTTTAAAATACCTGTATATAGTAATTATTGGCTGCTGTAGTGGCAACTAGTTTCAGTTCATAGGTTGAACCATTATCAGTAAAGTCTAAACTTTATTATAGCTCGGTCGAGTCGCTTGTGTCAATGTCCTTTTGTTCATCTAGTGTTTTGTGTAAAAGTATGTTCGTTTTATGTATCCATGACTTGTGTGTTTGTTTTTTTTATTGAACTCTATAAATGACCTTCAAATGAAGCCTTTGGACTCCTTGTTGACCAAATTGTGGTTTAACCTAAGAACCTTAATTAGTTGCCACTACAGCAACTAAGGATTACTCTATGCAGGTAATGTAAATCATTTTAAGTAATCCGGAGGCTAAACAACTCTATGGAAATTTAAATTATACTATATCTATTAGTTATGTGTCAAAACTGAATCTCAAATCACAAAACCATCAAAACTTAAGAAGAAGAAAAAAAGTTTTGATTTTGAGATTCGATCTGTGAGTTTCGAGATTAAAAAGTTTCAAAATTGAAGATTTTGTCCGTTTTGTTTTTGAACTTTCTGGAATTATTTGGCGTTGTTAGTTATTACTATTGTTTAAAACACAGTTTACACACCATTTGGCAGCAATGGAGCAAACAGATCACCTTGAACAACGCTAATGAAACAAGTAAATTATATTCTAAACTGCAAAAGGCATCTTAAATACTGATAGTGGAACAACGTACAACAAAGTATCACATCAAGCTTATTAAACACAAATGAAAATTGTCCACTAATAAATACTAGTGTACATGTTGCTCAAAATCGAGCAATTTCAAATAAGTACATGAGTCGAGGAGTTACAAATAAACAAATGACTTGTTTAATAACTAATAACAGTCATAATTTCCGATGATTTTAAAAGAGTCAACTAAAATATTATTAACTGATAAAAATACTCACAATTTACATAACAATCCTATTCCAGTTTAAAGGGTTAATGTTTAGCTATCAAACTGTCCATGGACGGGAAAAGGTAAGCTTACAATTTAAGTCAAAGTAAAAAGGCTGTCAGATTTTATAATGTACCGTACCTAAGTTATGTAGCCAATTTGTAGGTGTAGGGTGTAGGCTACTTTAAACTCTACAGAACAGAGTTAGGCAAAAACTGGCAGAACTCTGAAATGGAGTTATTTATCATAGGCATACTTATATGCCAAATCCTTAAAATAAAAATGCAATGATTAATAACTTATATCATTAAACACAAACCAACATCCTAAACTTTTTAATACAACATAGATAATTTACACATTGACTGTTTACAATTAAATAATTTCTGACAACAGCTGGAGTTTCAAAACAATGTTTGTTTCCCATGTTAATCTTATGGAGAAATACGAAACTTTAAAAGGCCCCAGGGCCTCACCCTCTAATTATTTACCTAAAAAGAAAGTTTCCTGCACAACTTCACGTTACGCTCTTTCCAATGAGACCAAAAACATGTCAATCGGTTCAGTAGTTTCGGAGGAGTAAATCTCACAAAAATCCTGCTTGCGTATTAAATAAGTATAGATAATATATAATATAATATAAAATAAATGTTCTAATTAATCTAATATTCATGTTTATGTTCATATCAGTAGTTACATTTTTTGAGATTTTGTTATCAAAATTATTATTTTTTTTGTGTTTGAAGTTTATCAGTCTCATATTTATTTTATTTTGTTAGGGTCAGGAGTCAATATCTGTCAGTTTTCATTGCATAATAAACATTTTATTATTACCTGAATTTTTTGTAACCTTGATCAAGTTACTAAGAAAGTTTCACATTTAGGTTTTGAGATTCAGGATTCAATTTTTTAACCCTAGCGCCGGCAAACGCTGGATATATGGCGCCAATGCAGGCGTCAATGTTTATGAATTTTTTCAGCCGAAAATCCGTTAAAAACCCCTCAAAACTCATATCAAATGAAAATTCACGAGTTATAGTACTTATTTACAATACTTTTAAAATTTGTATACCTCTTTGGAGTGATTTGAACTCTATTTAAAAGATCGCGATCGCTTGTTATTGATTTCGTCGTCTGCCGCTGCCGCTATAAACAGTAAACAGTGTCGATCGGCAACGTTTGGATGTGTTTTTGTTTATTTTTATGCGTTTATTAGTGTTATTATTTGTAGTAAGTATTTAAATAAGGTGAATTAACATGTTAGTGGGTAATATGCACTATTTTTGATTGTATGTAATATATTAGTGTATAAGGTGTACGGTTTTGTACATGACCTGGGTTGGATGATTATTTGGTACCGTACTAGCGCGGGGGTACGATCAACATAATAATAGGGCTATCAAACAAAATACACAAAATAAGCTATATAAACTTAAATATTTTTGGAATCAGCACAAAATTTACTACAACTTTACAACTTACCTTATGATGATAAGTCTTACCTGCACTTAGCTACACGACGGAATATAAAAACATTTTATAAAAAAATTAATAATGCCTACAATTCGGAAAAACTAAAAAAAAAGTTTTTTTTGTAACCATGTAAACCACCTAGGCCTATATTATTGTTCTTTGTCTTATTCTGAACAAAATGATATATAATTATCCATAGTTATGTTGCTATTTCTGATTTGTATGATGGTTTAAAAACGATATTACATAATCAATAATATCCCTATGCCAGTACAGCGTAACACTAGTGCCAGCTCTAGGGTTAAGATTTGGTTTTGATTTTGAGATTAGAAATTTCTGGGTTTGACCATCACTTGGACGATAATAGTTGCCTTGTCTCACAGTTCCTATGCCTAATAATTATAAGACGTATTGCTCATTGAAGCATCATCAGGTGTCTCAAAACAACAACAAATATTTTCTCGTTCAAATGTGAGTTGTTAGTTACATTAAAGACAAGACAATACAGCAACAAACACCGGCATGTAACATTTAAAATATAAAAAAATTGAAAATGTCAGTGTCTGATGTCTGATCGTGTTACGTATTCAGATTGGTTAAACCCCTTATTATGTGTGATTTTTTAATTTTACCGGGAAAACCTGATTTTAGTGCTGTTTTGTTGCAATTAGGATTTCAGAAGAATTTAGAAGTGTTCAACACTCAGTGACATACTTTATTTGCTTGTGTAAATGCTCATGAAACTCCATTAGCGCATGAAAAATCTGACTGTTTAAACATCTTGAACATCGTCTGCAATTACGGCAAAATCGTGAATGTCTTCTGTGGTCACTGTGAAATCGAGAACATCATCCGCGATCGTGACAATCATCTATATTCAATCACACAAGTTCTAAACGCTTACTGCAATCGCAGAAATATATACTCAGCTCAACTCAAGTCGACCTGATCTTGGCCTGATGATTGTTTTTGGCCCGAACTTATCCCTTGGGCTAACTATTGGCCTAACCCGACCCAAAACTATCCGGGACCACACAGACCAAAAGTCAAAAGTTACACTAAAAACTAGAAAGTTAGTTATCACGACCAGGGAAACCAGGTTCTGCTGCTGGAAAAATTGGGAGGAAATGTGTGCATATTTCAGGAGTTCTGAGGCAACCCTGTTCAATGTAACAAACTTTAACTTGTAAGAGTCAATTTTATTTTGAATTGTGTTATCTGGTGGTGTTTTAACTATAGCAACACGTCTAATAGTTATAGGCCTAACATGTAAGAACTGTGAGAGAAGGTAATTAGCCTCTATTATTTACCTGTTATGCAATATCTAGGTCTTGGGGTGATGACCGCGTCGTTGAAAGAGTTAAACTAGAGGCTGACGTTTTGGATGCGGAGCAGCTATCCATCTACAGGGCAAACTACAATTCAACTTCTATTATGTTAAATAGTAGTTTGCCCCAACGATGGATAGCTACTAATATTTTATATTGAGGGTCGTTTGAAAAGTTACGTAAACAATTTTAACATATTAATCATTTTTTAATTTTTCAGAATAATTAAAGCAAGATTTAGCTGTATTTCCTTTCCATTACCAAACCATAGCTATTGAATACTGATCATTTGATGATGTGCAGCGGAAGACATGCCCCCACCTATCCAGTCTCCCGGAGGCTCAAGTACAGCCAGTTCCCGGGATACTTCCCCTTGTCGAGAACTCTCCCCCTTGGTCAACAGTCTGAAGCCCCCCATCATCATCCGGCGAGGACCTGCGGGCTTTGGCTTCACCGTCCATACCATCCGTGTGTATTATGGGGACACTGACTTTTACACCATGCATCACCTTGTCATGGTAAGCATTAGTGCCATGAACAGTTATAGTTATAACCGAATCAAACTTTATTCTTAAATCAATTATAACATAACATTTGTTAAAGAACAAATCCTTTCTCCATATGTGACAGTAACTCCAAAACGCAACCTGAAGAATTGCAAAGAATTATATTTCGGTTTTTCAGACAGTGTTGATTCATCTTTTTGGACATAGAATTGATCGTTGTAAAAAGAACACTGTAGCAACATTTCTATGATTACAAAAAAAAAAATACTACGGTTGTGAGGTATGTTGACAATGTTGTCATAATGACAAAAACAGTCAATATATTGCCACGACAGTCACAATGTCACTGTGATATTGTATATCATACCAATTGATGATTGTTGAAACAAACTGGACTGTTGTGCTTACTGCTTATACATGCTCATAAGCCGCCAAAGCATATTTTCCTTGCAGTTCAGAGTAATGTTGTTTTACTGATAGGGAGGAAGAAACCCCTATTCTAATACCATTTCCAGTCTAAAAGTATTTCATTCACTTCCGCCGATTTCTTCCAATAAGTGATTCATCCCAATCCTGTTCCGAAACATTAATTAAGTTTTGCTCATTCTTATGATGGATCAGGTTTTGCACAACTAGGACTAGGTTTTGCTAGGCTTACAATGTTATCAAAATTTCAGGCAGTTGAATGTGGAAGTCCTGCATTTGAGGCTGGGTTGCGTCCTGGGGACTTGATTACACACATCAACAGTGAAGCCGTCCAAGGACTGTACCATACCCAGGTGCTACAACTGCTGCTGGCTGGGGGCGACCACGTCACCATCCGCTCCACACCTCTAGAGAACACCAGCATAAAGTCTGGTGGCCGGCGCAGGGAGCCGGGCCAGAGCAAGCTGGCTCGCCGCAGTCAGGCCAAGCAGCGGCGACAGAAGCGTGATATTGGGGATAAGCGACGAAAAACTTCACTTTTTCGTCGCATCAGCAGTAAACGGGCTAGTGTGGAGATGCAGCAGGTGTGTTAAAAAATTGTATCCCTACTTATATAATATATAGGTACCATTAATTGTTAATATATAAGTACAACTGATTGTGCATATTATGCAGCAATATCAATTTTAAAAAATATGCAGCAATATCAATTTAAAAAAATATGAGGTGACTCAATTTTATATCAATCATTATCTATTAGAGGTGTGGGAACGACTAAATTTTCAAGCCGAGCCAAGTCTAAAAGCTCGAGCGATTAAGCAGCAAGTCAGAAAATTGTGGGGAGCTTTTATTATTACATTGTTATCACGATTGCAGATAGCTAGGAGGATTATAGTAATGAGGACATTGTGATAAATGCACATTACATCAAATTTACTAAAGCATTGCTGCTTTTATACTGGTAGTCATATCTGACATACTTTAAAGCCCCCACAGCTTTAACTTGTGGTTTTGTTGTGCATTGTTAAAGGTGTAACGAGATGATGGAATTTAAATTTGAAGACTCTTAAACTTTGTAGTTAGTTTATTATAATTCATAAAGTTAATTTAATGTAAATAATTAATTGCCTTAAATTTCATTTTGGAATGTAGAGTAATGACAAATCTATCTATTGAATAACATAACAGCACTTTCATTTCCATACAAAAGCTTGGCTCGAAAATGCTCAAGTCATGAAAATAGTTTTCACACCTCTTGCATGGCTGGCAGTTATTAAGTATTGATTCCTCCACTTCCTCCTAATTGCATTCACTATGTTTTGTAGCAAGGTAAATAAGTTTTTTTTTGTGCAGCAAGTCCAAACAAATTCAAATTCTAGACTTCACCAAATTGTTTTATGTTTTCAGCTCCTCAGTCCTGTGAATGTTTTATGGTGATTTTTTTTCAGATGGCTGCAGGTGTGTCGTCCCCTCCATTAGTAACTCCTAGCCGTAGTTTCCAGTCGTTTAGTAGAACACTCTCTCAATCAACCCCTGAGACCCCACCTACTGTGGAGACCCCCCGCCAGTCAGATTTGTCATCTAGCTCTGCTAGCTCTCCCTCTAGTTGCAGTCCCGGTCCTCCCACTACCCCCTACCAACGTCCCTCGACTCTACACGGACTGAAACACAAACTACACACCGCGGCCAAGTCAGTTCATTCTCCTGGCCGTCGTAAGTCTGTCGGACATATTCCTCTTTCTCCTCTAGCAAGGACACCATCCCCCTCCCCACTACCCTCATCCCCCACCCGATCACCTTCTCCCTTAGCCTTCCCCCCTGGCCACCAACCCGGCAGCTCTAACACCACTCAGAGCTACAGTCCAGGAACCTCTGTTGCCACACCCTCATCAGGTCCTAAAAAGGGTTTTGGACGAGCTAAGAGTGCTGAGCCGGGGTCGCCGTTGCTGAGACGAGCGTTGTCCCCTGATAGACTTCACCCTCGCACAGCTGAGAAGCCTGGACCCGCCTCCATCTCCCCGCTCTGTGACCCAGCCCTCAAGGTTACAATTACATCAGCTCCCAGGGTGACTATCACGTCCAAGTCACCTCCAGTCTTGAAGCCCATTGTTGTTGAGGAAGAAAAAGAGCAAGTCAAATCCAAGCCTTCTGTCAAAGCTATGGCTGACAATGATCGGAGTAGTAACAAAATAGAAGAAGAGTTCATGATAGGCAACAATCAGCCTTTGCCCCGTATCGCTGAAGAAAAAGATTCTCCGACTGCATTGAAAGAGGAACTTGCAAATTTGAAATCAGACCCGACGCTACTTCCAAAAGAATGTGTATTTACAACATGTGTTTTGAAACCTGAATCATCTCAGATTCAGCCTCCCGCTCTGAAATTAGAACCCAGCCCAGTTCTCCGAGAGCCACCCCCCTTGCCACAGAAACCGAGAAGTAAAGGATCCACTATTAAGGGAATCTGTTCAGGAAAGAAATGGAAGATGAGAGAAAATCAGACTCAAAAACAGAGTAAAGATGAAGATGCAACGGACAGTAAAACTTCAGGACCCCCCTCGACTTCTGGTATTTTGAAATCCGGGCGAAAGTAGTTTGGTAGTACCTTTCAAGTAGGTGCTTGTGTATATATATAAATATTTTTCTGTAAAGTTCTTTTTTTACTTGTACTACATACTTACCATTCAGTTTTTTTTTGTTTTTTTATAATGTGTATAGTTTATAATATTTACCGAGTTATGTTCGATTTTATGAGTATTCCTGTTAATATGTACACATAAAATGTAAATGTGATTTTAAATAGTACATAACTGTAGTATGACAGAATTGCGATCTGAGTGAAATAAACACCAGTCTTTCTTTCTTTTAAACATAGATTATATTTTTGTATCTTAACTTATGCGGCCACAGCAGAAGAGCTCTGTTGCTGGTTATTTTGAAAGTTAAACAAATAGTTTTAAGAATTTGTTGTGATTACTTTTAAAGTTGCTGGTTCAGAAATACATTTTTAATATACTAAGTATATTAGCAAGAAAGTGTTTAATTGTCTTTTTCTGTGGTAGGAGTTTTTTGTCCTGAATGTAAATGTTTTTATTTTTATATTTATTTAAATTGAAGTGCAGGTGTTATACCTTTCAATCCAATGCTGTTTCTCAGAATAGCCTAAACTCCTTTAGATTTGATAATCTTCGTGTAGTTATCCTTACTCTTACCTCCTAGGACAGGTGAATACTTTGGTAAATATTATTTGACCCAAGTATTGGAAGAAAACTTTTCAAAAATTGTAAATATTACCGTAGTAAAAATAAAAATACTTTGTTGTATTTTCTCCATGATGAGTCAATGGAAGTTCTTTGCTGAACAGTATTTAATATTATTATTATCTATCCATGTATGTAGCATGTAAACTTAAACTATAAAGTTAAAATAGATGAACCGAGCCCTCAAATAGCTAAATTGTTAGTTACTGAACTTATCTGCCTTAATAAAAAAGTAGTCCCAATATCGCAGATACGTTGAATACTGAACTTATTTTTTTCATAGCTTATTCAGATTTTTAAACATAACATTAAAATCTAAAACCTGATTTGTAGTTAAAAAAAGCTCTGTGATTTGCTTTGACATTTATAAGATTAAACACTAAACCTGTTAAATATAAACTATAAAGTGTTCAAAAAATAATACCCTATTACATTAAAATATTTATGCTTTATAATATGATACATTAAACTTTCAAACTACAGATGAATGACATAAAAGGTTTTATCCTCTAGCTTACTCTTGTGATCAATGTTGTCTCAGGGCAAGTTGAGGGAATGCACAATTGATTGAATGAAAACAGTACCACTTGATGTTTCTCTTTAAACCAAACTTATTGGAATTATCTTTAATTTAAAGTATTATTTTAAAATGTATAATAAATTTAAAACTGTTTATATTCATTTTAAAATAATTTGCTTTAATTGTCCCGTATATGCTTTGTTTCTACAAGATTTGTTTCATGTTACAAGTGTTAACATACGTGAGTTAAACAGTAAGATCTGCTTATTATTTATTTTTAATTTCTATTGAACTACGTTAAACGCTGCTCGGTTTGTCCTTCCTGTCTTTTGTGGTTTTCCTGTTCAGTGTGAAAGCGCAAGTGTGATATTTTGATGCTATCTAAAGGATTCTTCCTTTTTTGGATTTAGGATCCTTGTTTGCCATTTGATTTATTGTTCGTACTTACTAGACTAGTTTTATTTGTTACAGTTATGTAATCTGTCTAGATAAAAATGGGGTTTGAAGTCTCATTGTCCCTTGTTGTTGGCACGTATTCTTGTTGTAATGAGTGTGTATCCGTGTTAGATATTACCTCGGTCACCGTAGCTAAATGCTGACTGGTTGCTCCTCGTGATATAGTTCGCTCCGTTAGTGCAATACACCACTTAATTTGCCATATGTTAGTGGACGACCTAGTTAGACAGTTAAATTGTTAACGTCCATCAATAGTCAAGTGTGCCTCTTTCCAGTAAAGTCAGTATTCCAAGCCTTAAAAGAGCAATAAACCAGTGTTTCCTTTGCAAACAACACTCTCATTAACTTTGTATGAATTAAGAAAGCCCTAGTCAATTTTACTGTGTTTGTTTTTTCTATGTAAAAAAAATATTTAAAATGTTATTTTAGAGTGTTAAAACTACCTGAATTCTCTTCACCATCCATCTAAACAATCATCATGTCCATTATATTTATTGACCATTTCTTAAAAAAAATAGTAAAGTGAAAATGTAAAAGTTGTAGTGGTTTGTTTATAAATGTTAAACAAAGCAAGAGGGAAAATGCATGATTTATAAATAATTTCCACTGGTGTACTCATGGTTATTTATTATAATATTTATTTCTAGTACTGATGGGTTTTTTGAATGTAACTCGACAATGTTAAATTTTTGAAATGTTAGATTGAAGAAGGACCATTAGATTTTAAAATTTGTTGCCACCATTATATTTCACAATTTGTTGATGTCCTGTGTTTAATCTATTTTGTCTGTCTTGTTAGGTTATATTTAATTCTCAGATTGCCATGTACCATTGCCTGCTTATTAAATTTCTAGTTAAGTTTTGTTGCGCATATCTTCCGTTTTCCTAATGGTTTCTTCTTCATAATTTTAATTATTCCTCGATGATTGTTCAAAATAAATAGTTCTACTTCTTTTACATAATTGTTTTTCTTCCTTTTATCTACCTTATAGTTGTAACTGGTTTTGTAGTAATTTCATTAAAAATGCAATTAGGTAATAACAACAGAGCACAATTTGCACATTTTATTAGTGTTCCAAAACTAGTTTCTAAAGCTGGGTTTTCCTAGACGCGGAGTCGGCCAGCGGAGAGCGGACAACGGAGAGCGGAATTGAAATTAACATGGCATTCCGCTCCGCTGCTAGGAAAACAGTAACATTAAATTACCTAAGACCAGCTGAGTCCGCTCTCCGCGTTCCTCTCTCCGCTGGCCGACTACGCGCCTAGGAAAACCCGGCTTAAGGCAAAAGGAATATTACTAATACCTTTCAAAGAATAACTGAAGAAAAATTTTAAATTCAAGAAAAACATATAAAAATATAATATAAAAAATAATATGTTTTTTAAAACCGTTATGAGGAATAAAACTAATTTTAAATATTTAAAACACGATTGTATATCGACACCATAAAGAGTGGTGTACCTACCTCAATCAGGTTACGATTATAAATAAAAGTAGCCTATTTAAAATCCATCTTCGTAAACTGTTAACATTTTCTCATAGTTAAACTAGAATTTAATAACACAATACCAATTGGATGTCCGAACTATCATTTAGACGCAACACAGCCTTCTGTAAATAAATTCTTAAGAGCAAAATGTGTAAGACTTCTATCTTAGAGTTCTTAGCTAGAAGTCTTTTCCAAATGACCTTGCTGGACTTAAATTTACTTTGGAAAGTAGTGTAGTTCACAATGGTTTTTGCGAATTTCCCATGTAGGGAATAAGTTATTACCGTAGTAGGTACTCATGGACACCTGGACCTGGGAACAATTTACTTTTTTTTGAGGTCCTCAGAGGCCAAAAACACCCTCCGTTCAAATTCATCTTACTAATATTATAAATTTAAAAGTTTGTGTGTTTGTTTGAAGTTTAATCACACATTAACTACTGGACGGATTGGGCTGAAATTTGGCATGATTATTGCTCACATTCCCGATTAACATATAGGCATATTTTTATCTCAAAAATCCTTTCGGGCTCTGTAGTAAAGGGAATTAAAGAATTTAGTCAGCTGTTTCAACTAAAAAGTTGGTTCTATGATATGCAAAAGCATTAAAAAGTTATAAGATTTACCAACAGGGTGCAGCACTATATTTTTTTGCATTTATGAAAACTGCTAATTTGAACTAAGCAGCAACAAAAAACTGAGATACGCAATCAGAACTAACTGTCAAAGTAGGATTGTTTACAGTTATGTTTATGTTTTTAATTTAATGAATAATTTGTGATGTTTTGCGAATTTTTGATAATTTATTTTTCTCTATTGTTTAGGTGAAGTGGTAGAACATTATTGCTATGGTACATGTGTAATACTATAGAATACTGTAACTTTAAAGAAGCAAATTTTATCATACTGTGTCCTCCCTCATTGCAAACTCAAAGCTTGAGTATAACTGCAATAAGCATTTTATACTTGTATGCCAACCCCGTACGAAGGACGGGTACTCTGATAGTGTATATATATATAGGTATATTTATATGTGTGTGTGTGTGTGTGTGTCGGTTAGCGCGATCAGGGCCGGTTTAACCCATACGCGAACTACGCGGCCGCATATGGCGCCACGAAAAAGTGGCGCCGTGGCGCCAACGGGACATTTTTTTTACGTGAACAACGTAATTTTGTTTATTTTTGCTCAGAGTTCAAGTATTCAAAGCACCACAATAAAGGCATTTATTCTGTTTGTACCAACAGCATTTGAAAATTTTGTATATTTGTACAGCACTACAACTCAAGGACTCAATATGCCATTTTCAGTTTCGATTTGAACTGAGCTGACGCTTGGCAGTCGGCAGCGTCAGCGCCAGCGCGGCACCTTTGGGTTTCATTCATTTCACGAATCACTCATGCTCGAGATAAGCAAGCGCGCAGCGCCACTTGTCACAACAAGAAACTTCCCCTCACTCCTTTCTGCCTCTGATCCTAGAGCAGAGCACTACGTTGTATTGCACTCTTTTAGTTGTATACGTAGGTGCGTAGGCCTATACCGTATCGGCATTGTTTTGATTCATGATTGTTGATAAGCGAATTATTACGAGTGTTTTAAGTTTAATTTATAATTAGCACATTAAATAAAAAGAAAGTATAAACTGAATGAGTGAGTAAAACATATTGCGAGCCGAAACTATGAAAACAATGGCAGAAAAAAAACCGTCTGGCACTTATCATAGAAAGCGTAAGGCGAATTTGGAAGAGGAAGAAAAAAAAGCCAAATCAATGAGTAGACTTTTGTAGAAAACATCTGGGGCACATTTCATAATAAAGTACAAACTAATATTATTAGTAAATCAGCGGATCGCCCAATGCAAATCTAGTTTATTATGAAATGGGCCCCTGGTGGCGAGTCCAGTCAGCCCAAAGAAGTCACGATAGAAGACGGCAATGACGTAGGTATTTATTTATTTATTTGCCAAGGAAAGATTAAAACAAGCAGCTGATCACAAACGGCAAACATTACGTCATTGCCGTCTTCTATCGTGACGTCATGCTTGACGAGCATTACATTACGGCCTGTTTTTTTAGTGTGTCCTTGGTTTTGCTATAGTTTATATGATGAGTAAAAGTGTATAAATGTCACATTTCTGCGAATAATAAACAGCCTTTTATTGCAAGTAAGTATTCTTCTACCTAAACTTAAAAAAAAAATTCTTCCCAAAATTATTGGGAAAAATTCACAAATACGGTTAAGTTACATGTTCATGGGTTTGGGGGGGGGGGATTCTAAGTGGCGCTGATTCGGGTGTTCGCTTAACTCTGAAAAATTCCTAGAACCGGCCCTGAGCGCGATAACTCAAGCAAAAATTATCCGATTTTGATGAAATTTGTTAGAAACGTGTAAACCTTCGTTTATTCGAACGAAATCGCGACCAGCATAATCGGACTATGGGAACGGGGGTTTATGGGGTACCAGTTCATTTTTCCCATTTTTGACTCTAAAAACAAAATTTTACAGTTTCTTTCCAGACCATTTTGTAGAACTTTAAAAAAGAAAAATTTCGTATATTGAAGCATTGTTGTATGCCAAACAGTTACGGAGATACTTAAAAAAAACTTTAAATTTAAAATTCCCATGTTATATACTTATGGAGAATAAATAAACTGTTGTAGTTTGCTTGTTTATGGATATATTTTAATAAAATTTGTCAATTTTGTTTATTTCATTCTAAGCTATCAACATTTCAATAAAAACATACCTCAATACCTTCCCTGTAGCAGCAAACCTAGGTAGTCATTAAAATTGTTGTTATTTTTAGGAAATAAATCTGACAATTTTCATGGGATATTTTATTAGTTAAAGTTGTAGTCAATTTTATTGTGCTGCAAACAAATTTCCATTGGCTTGATTAGATTTGTGCTCAAATGTTTCTTTTATCAGTTTTATTCTCTATTTAAATAACATTAGGTTTCATGAGTAAGCTTTTGCTGCTTTAGGGATGGTGAAAAGTTGTCTATTTATTAAAATGTTATTATTATAAATAAATACAGTAATACCTTTATTCAAAGCGGTATTCAGTAAAAACTGGTTTTCAAGACAACTCATGTCACAAACAATACATTTTATAAAATTTAATAAACAGTACTAACAGTAGGGTAAGTGAAACTAAACTAGCTTTAATTTGACCTTTAACTAATTACATGACAGGACCAGATCCTGGATATTTCATCATTTATTTTGACTAAACATTCGTATTTACAGTTAGCTGTTTTTTGTTAGAAAATCCTTGAAATATTGGCCAAGATTGGTTAGGGGATTGAAGAAAGGGACAGTATGAAATGGGGGGGGCACCTCTGGTTGCAATAAGTAGTGATAGCTGATGTAAATAAATTGTTATTCATTGCTATTGTGCAGGTTTTGTCCTGAACGTTAACAGTTTAAATAAATGACAAACTATGGGTGAAAAAAAAACATTCGTCTACCACCTAAACAGTAGAACAGTTAACTCGCACATCATTGAAATTATTACACATTTTTATTCATAATTAAATAATGCATCGTAAGTACATCCTTTATTGAGTGATACATATTTAAGTTTGTGTTATACCGGGTCTATGAAAAACAACTTCCTTGTTTTAAAATTTATTTATTTATTGTACAATATACAAATTACAATGATTGATAAATTAAATGAAAGATAATTAAATAAAAGTTTTTTAACACTAGCACACCTCGGTATACGAACCATTTGTAGCTCTGCAGATACCCAAGCGATTTTTATTCATCATTATTGATCATTATTTGTTATTATTTTTTTATTACCAAAACTACACTCCAGGTCAAACAGCTGTCCCAAACGTATTGATAATGTACGAAACTAAAACTTATTACAGCACCAAAGGATTATTACTCAATTACACTAATACTATCGTGAGGTATTTTTAAAACTAGGGAGTTCTTTTTCGGACACCCGGTATTATATAATCAAGTATTATATCTATCCTATCTATCTATCTATCTATCTATCTATCTTATCTACCTATCCGGTATTATATCTTCAAAAATATAAATTTTAAATCGACCGATTAACATTGGACAAACGCCTTTGTTTTATCAAGATACATATGAATGCAGTACGTAACTATGTATCTTTGTTACATATTATCATTGACTATATATACCTACAGGTATATACTGTATAGTATATACCTATACTATATATACCTATAGGTATATATAGTCAATGATATTATCTACTACAAAATAATAAAATTATAACTATTTTTTTTTCGTAAGAGGTTGGCGGCCTCGTTTAACCTTGCATTTGCCCGTCCACATAGACTACAGATCTGTGCGTGGAACGTATCCAGCAAAGCAAGGGGTGAGCCGGTACAGTACAAAGGTGAACTGTACTGATAAAAGTTTGTGGCAGTGACCAGGATCCGAACCCACAACACTTCTGCATTGGGCCCGAAGTCCGTGACGCT